GCCCAAGAGGCACCCAGGACCGCCCAGAACGGCCCCAAGAGGGCCCCAAGAGGGGCTCCATGGGGGGGGAATTCGAACCGATATTTCGAGGCCTCCGCACCAAGAGGATTTTGAAGACTGCCAGCAGGCCCCCAAGGACCCCCCAGAGGACTCAAGAGGCCCAAGAGAGACCGACAGGCCCAGAAAGGCGCCCCAAGAGGTTTCAAAACTGCCCCCACGAGGCTGCCCAGAGACTTTTTCGGAGACCCGAACAGGTATCCAAGAGGTCTCAGGCGGCCCCCGTAGAGACTCAAATATGTGTTTACACACGTATATATCAGAGTGAGGGGGCCGAACGGTCATTCATTGTCATTGGGTGCGAGGCTGAATAGGAAACTCGTGGTGAGAAGTCTGTTTGTTGCGTTGTCGTTATTATCGTTGTTATTATTATTGTTGTTATTGCTGTTGTTGCTGCTGCTGTTGTTATTGTTGTTGGATGTTAATTACTGAATAAGTATTATATGGCATAGCTGCGCTCTAGAGCTCGGACCTCTTTATGTTCTTTCTTCTTCGTCCCTTTGGTCCCTCGCCCTGGCCCCAGTCCCCCTCGCACTGGACCCTTTATTCTCGTTCGTCGTCGTCCCTCTGGTCCTGACCCTGGACCCAACCTCCCCCCCTGGTCCTGACCCCAGCCCCCCTGGGTCCAGAGCAGCACGGCAGAGTTCTACCTCGAAGTTGAGCGGGGGACCAGCACAATGACCCGATAGCGCGTGTGTTGGTCTGCTGTGGTGCTAAACGTCCTCGTCCTTGTGCTCGCCCTCGTACTCGCCCTCGTTCTGTTCGTCCTCGTCCTTGTGCTTCTCTTCCTCCTCGTTGTCCTCATGCTCCTCGCTATCCTCACGGTCGCCACGTCGTCCTCGTCCTCGACTTCTCGTTGTCCTCGCCTTTCTTTTCTTCTTCGCCCAATACGCCCATTTCACTACAGCGGCGCTTTCCGTTCTTGTCCGATCAGGTTCTGGGAAAATCGCCGTTTTGCTCGAGACATCCTCGAAAAATCAGCTCCGGAGGGGACTCCGAACCAGCATTATCTTGGAGTCGTTCCCGGAGGGCATCAAAACGGCCCAAGAGAGCCCCCAAAGGCCCCCCAGGGGACCCCCAAAACGGCCCAAGAGACCCCCAAGAGGCCCCCAAGAGGCGCCCAGAGGCCCCCAAGAGGCGCCCAGAGGCCCCCCCGAGCGCGCGAAGAGGCCCCAGGACTGGCCAAGAGAGCCCCAAGACGGTCCAAGATAACGCCAAGACAACCCAAGAGAGCCCCCACAGACCCTCGAGAGACGCCTGGACAGTCCAAGAGGGTCACAGAAGCCTCCAAGAGGCTCCCAAATTTCAGAAAAATGGCAGTTTCGCTCGAGACATCCTCCAAGAATCGGCCCAAGAGGGGACTCCGCATCGACGTCGTGTTCGAATCGCTCTTGGAGGGCTTTCCAACGGCCCAAGGGAGGCCCAAAAGACGCCCCGGAGAGCCCCAGGAGCGCCCAAGAGCGCCCCAAGAAGACCCCAAGAGACCCCCAAGAGCGCTCTAGGAGCCACCCAGACAGCTCACAAGAACCCCAAGACGGCCCGAGAAGGGCCAAGAAGGCCCCAAGAGACTCACGGGAGCGCCCCAGGAGGCCCCCAGCGCCGAGACGGCCTAAGAAAGCTCCCACAGAACCCCACAACGCGCCCAGACAGCCCAAGAAGACCCCAGAAGCCCATAAGAGGACCCAAGGGGCCCCCAAGAAGCCCCCAACGGGCCCCAAGAGAACCCCGCGCGGCGCCAGGAGCAACGTCTTTTTCCAATTGCCTCGTACTGTCCTCTGTCGTCGTCGTCGTCGTCATCATCGCCCTCCGCATTCCTCCTTGTACTCGCCCTCGTTCTCTTCGTCCTCGTCCTTGTGCTTCTCTTCCTCCTCGTTGTCCTCATGCTCCTCCTCGCTATCCTCACGTTCGCCACGTCGTCCTCGTCATCGACTCCTCGTTATCCTTGTCTTCCTTTTCTTCTTCGCCCAATTCGCCCATTAGACTACAGCGGCGCTTCCCGTTCTTGTCCGATCAGGTTCCATATTTAGAATACACGATGGGGGAGAATCGCATGTACATTGTATTATCTCAGTGGGTGGCGGTAAACCCAGCGGGATGGTAGAGTTTATATTCGATTTACAAGAATCTACGTGGCGCAATCCACGTGGTGCAATATATGTGTTGCAACCTAGGCGGTGCAACTCGCCCTGCCGAGCTTGAAATTGTCAACTCCACTTTTCGCACAGTCATCCCACCCGCCCACCCGCAACTTGGTTTGCAAAATCAGTGGTGCGGCGATTGCGATGACTGCTTGGCGCTGGCTGGTGCCTCGCTGCTGCCGCACTTGCGCGCGCAGGCTCGCACGCAGAGCGGCCAGCCAGTCTGGCGCGACCAACGCGGCCGCGGTGGCGCTTACCGCTGGGCACTTCCCAGCGCGTCCCACGGGCCGCGCTGACCCGCGGGCATTTCAGTGCGAATCGGTGATTCGGGCGGGCACGGTATCATGGCGACGTCGACGACAGCAAAAACGACGATTATAGTACCGATGTTGGTAAACATGATGACGCTGACGACGGCAAGGCCAATGACGGCGCCGATGCTGGTTACGCCGATGACGATGATGGTGTTCATGCGTCGGTGATGACAGTTGCGGAAGGCTTTCGACATGCGCGCGCGGCCGACTGGCGCGAGTGGCAGCAAGCGTGCAAAGGCGTTCGAATGACTCCGGCATGTGCGCGCGAGAAGCCCATTCCATGACAATGTTCTTGGACAAGGGGTTCTCTCACAAATCAGTAAAAACGCGCGCAAGACACTGGTTGTTTTGACGTGTGACTTCGGGGCAACCACGGGGCAACCGCGGCGAAACCGGGGGGGGGCAACCAAGGCCAGGAACCGCGCAGCCGGGGGAACACTCGTTTACACGATTTGGTCCTGGTTGCGCTGGCAATCGTCCCCCTCCCGCAGTTCCGCCTCGCCCGCGCGCGTGGCACCAACGGAGTCCGAAGCCGATTTTTGGGGTTGGGGCAAGTTCGCTATCACACCCCCACCTGCGATTCTGATTTACATGCGCACCTAGACGTGAAATTGTGTATTCGAAAAATACAAAATTGTGGATACAGGGCCCGACTTGAATAAGGAACACTTACTTTTCAAACGGGGTTCGGTCGTTCTTTTGGTTTTCATGCGTTCCGCTGCTTGTGTTGCGGCGAGCCCCCTGGTGTTCCTTCGGACTTCTTGGAAAAAAGGGGGTTCGTTCTTCATTTGTCGATCCTTAGGTCAAACCGAATTGTACACATCTATACTATTGCAAATATTTGTGCACTCAGGGCACCGAACGGGTAGACAAGTTGCTTTGCACATGGTTGTAGGTAGACTCGTCAAGTTAATGCGGTAGATTGGCCCTTAGGCCATCAGCCAAATCTGGCCTATGTCGCTTTATTGTTAGTTTGATAGCCCGCTACGTAGTTAAACAGTTAGGCCGCTTGTGCGAGGTTGACCGACACGCGTGTAGCTAAGTCGCTGGAAGTGCATGTTCTCAGGCAGGTCAAATGACTCATGTTCACCAATGTTGCCATACTGGCGCGAGGTCATCGCAAACCAAAAATTGTGGCCATCCCCAGCCTGCTTGTCATCCGAAGGCCGATCGGCGAAGGCAGTGCCTCTGGACGTTCCTGGGCGCTGGGAATTCGTGTGTGTGTGTGTGCGTGTGTGCGTGTGTGTGCGTGCGCGTGTGTGTGTGTGTGTGTGTGTGTGCGTGTGCGTGTGCGTGTGCGTGTGCGTGTGCGTGTGCGTGTGCGTGTGCGTGTGCGTGTGCGTGTGCGTGTGCGTGTGCGTGTGTGTGTGTGTGTGTGTGTGTGTGTGTGCGTGCGGGGCCACTTTGCAACGCTCCATCACCGATGCAATACAGTTGGACGGAGGTCTAAGATCGAGGTCGGTTCTGGGAAGGTACCCTAATGTTCTTCGCATTTGTGTTATGTGTTTGTGTATCCCGGGGGAGGGTACCGTCGAATGTGTTTCAGTTTGGCTGGCCGGCGGAGGGTCTCATGTTCTTGAAGGATGTTTTTCTGTCTGAGGCTTGGCCGTACATCTTGTCAGACTGCAGTCGTCTCGTCTGCCGGGGAGGTAGTTCGATTTGTTTACGGCGAAGGCGCTGCGTTTGGAAGGTACAGGATGAGATGGAGGTGAGAGATGAAGTATTCTGCTTTCCCTAGCCTGCAGCTGTCCAATTTCAGCCTTGCAGCGTAGTGGAAGTGGCCTCGTGTGAAGCAATGGCCACGCAGTGCAGTCTTGCAGTGTAGCTCTGCCTCGCGCAGTGTAGCCTGGTGTAGCGCAAGCCTTGCAGTGTAGCCATGCCTCGTGTGAAGTAGCCTAGTGTAGCCTTGCAGTGTAGCTCTGGGCGTCCTGTACTTATGCGAAACTGGGAGCAGACTCTGAGAGTGTCATCCTGGCTCGTGGCACCGCAAACGGGTGGATCTTGGGGCTCGACCCCCCGCGGTGCCGAGCGGTGTGCGCAGTCTTGCAGTTCGCCTTCGACGGCTCCGGCAGTGGAGCTGCCGCGGCGTGAAGACACAGAACCACCGAATGTGACCTAATCGAAAACGTTGGAGCGTGATCTTTATATGACGCAAAGGGCTACACACAAGTCAATAACATGTGCCGGATCTGCACGGAAAAGCAACGATCAGGGTGTCGCATGGGCACGGACACAGTTAAAGTTGTCGGTTCCCAGTTGTGCGCCACGTTTTCTCATGCTTCTGAAACGTTGTTGGCTGTGTCAGCCGCCACGGGAAGTGACATCTCGTGATTTGCGAATGCCCTCCAAGGTCTATATCTGCCTCTGACCTACACGCAGGCCGGCCGCACACTCAGACCTGTGGCTGCGACCAGGCGATGTGCGACGCGCTCCACCACCACGAGAGCGTCCCCGCCGGGTGCCGCGGAGGCTGCAGGTGCTGCAGATTTTGATGGCTGCCGCCTTCTCGGAACCCCTTGCACTGAGCGGTCGCCACCAGCCGCGCCGACGATGCTCCTACTGGTACGCGAGTTCATTCGGGTGTTGCTAGAAGTGCCCCTGGCCCAAGGTGCCCCCAGGACTCCTCGGGGTGGCAGAGCACCCCTCACAAGGCCCAGGGGGTCCCAGGGGCTCCAAAATGGAGCGGAAAGCTGGGGGCCAGGGGCACTTCCAGCAACACCCGATTCGTGGTCACCCCGCCCGGGCTGCCAGAGAATCGACGCTCCGCGCCGCGCGGTCTGGGCCAGCGCCTGGGCAGCCGCCCCTCCGGAGGCGGCGGCGCGCGCGAACGCGAGCGGTGACCGGCGGCGCGCGCGAACGCGAGCGGTGGCCGGCGCGCCGCGCCGCGCGCGGGCGCGAAGCGGGCAGGCGCGAAGCTTGGTGACCAGGGGGCCCTCACGGGAGCCGCGGCACGCCCGAGCTGAACACTGGATGATTCGATTACACGTAAGAGTGACCCTTCGTTGGAGTGATTTTTGGTCTGGGCCCAATGGGGCCCCCCGATTGCTGAACGCAAAGCAGTAGCAGCGGCTTGCGCGCCCGGGTTTGGCCCCCTTCTTCCGCGGCCCTTAAAAAGCCGCGCACCAAAGTTCACTCTTTCCCAGGGTTGCGCTTGCGTGTAGCCGAATGACGACGATCAGGGGCGGCCTAACCAACCCCTAGCAAACCATCCCCTTTCGTGATATGCCCCTCGCCTCGCCCTGAGGCGTATGTGTGCGGCCGGAGGGAAGCTTGAAAGGCGAGAGGGTGACGTCACGGAAGGGGACGGTTTGCTAGGGGTCGGTTGGGCCGCGTCCGAGACGAGGCGATGCGCACGGTCGCGGGCCAGCAGGGGCGCAAGGGCAGAACGCCCTCACGGGGGACATCGGGGGCCGCCCCTCCTTCCTTTCCTCTCCTTCCGGCTTCCCCGCCCTCCTCCCTCCCTCCGTCCCTCCTCCTGCTCATCCTCTTACCTCCTCCTCCTCCTCCTCCTCCCTCCTCCTCCCTCCTCCTCCTCCTCTTCCCTCCTCCTTCTCCTCCTCCTGCTCCTCCTCCTCCTCCTCCTATCCCTCCTCCCTCCGCGCCTCGCGGAGCTGCAGGTCGGCGCCCCATCCTCCGCCGCGCGCTTCCGGGCCAAGAGCCGCGGCGGGCCCGTCCCAGGAGGCGCTGTCTTCTCAGTGTGCACCGTGCACGCCAATCATTGAAAGTACGCATTTGGGGACTCCCAAATCCCGAACTACTTCAAGCGCCTTCTTACTTCAATAGTTGATGTGCTTCTGCTGCGTTGCGTTATTCTCTGGGAGGGCCTGAACCCAGTCTACTCGATCCGCCTTCCTACTTTCTAATCTTTCCCACGTCTTCCGTCTGATGTGTACTCCTCGGAGGAGGTCGTCGAAGCCGGACTCCCCTGCTGCTCCCGCATTCCACATGGGAGGCGTCGCCCCCCTCCCCGCTCTCTCGCGCTCAAAAAAAGCAGATCCGTATCCGCGGCCTCGCGGGCCGGGCCTTTGGGCCGCGACCCTGTGGATACGGGGCATTGTTTCGCGAGTGCCCCGCGCAGAACGTGGGGGAGGTCGTGGGCGAACAAAACATGACTGCATCCGCGGCCTCGCGGGCCGGGCCTTTGGACCGCGACCCCGCGGGTACGGGGCATTTTTTCGCGCATACCCCGCGCAGAACGTATCCGTGCGACCGCGGCGTATCTGCGGGATCGCGCCCCGGAATCCAGACCGCGAGGGCGCGGATGCGGATATGTTCGCCGATTGTGGTAAACATGATTTTTCAGACCTCCGCGCACATGTCTTGAGTCTGCGCTGGACCCCCCTCCTTGGCAAGTGGAGTCACCGCCAGGGGGGCGGGCTGGGCCAGCCCCGATCCTTGAACCAGGAGAGGCAGGGCTCCAGCGCAGATCCAAGAGTCGGCGGCGAGCCTTGGGGGGAGTGAGAAGGGGTGGGCCTTTTGAGAAGGCTCAGAAGTCCTCAGGCTTTCTGAGAAGTTTGCTTTTCTGAGTTTTCCCCGAAGACGCGGAAAACCTTTCAAGACGTTGGATGCTTTCTGAGAAGCCCCGCCGCCTTCTGAGAAAGTCTTCTCCTTCTCACTTGCCGCCGAAAGAAATCCGCGCGGAGCCCCGAACGCGTCTGTGCTGATGCTGCTGTTTCTTCTTCCACGTGCACGCAGCGCGGGCCGCCCCGAGGCTACACCCACACGCGGGCCACGTTCCTGCCCTCGTGGTGCTCTGGCCAGGCACTTCTCTCGGAGCGGGGCGGACGAGGAAGCGGGGCCTCCCGATGCAGGATGCGGGGCCTCCTGAGGAGAGAGACGCGGCATCCGAGCAGGAGGGGGGCCTCCTTCCGCGCAGGAGGCGCACGCGCGCCCTCTTCCTCGGTGATCGCCTGCACATCCGCGCCCGAGGCCACGGCGAGGACGTCCGAACCGATGCTCTCAGTTGCGCGCTCGAGCCACACGGCGCCATCTGAAGCATGCCGCGCGAGTCCTCCTGCTCTGCTGCGCGCGCCCCCCCACCCCCCACCCCCCCTTACCGTAGTTCTGCCACGGCGCAGCCTACGCTGCCTCGTGCGCCGTGGGCTTCAGACGGGCACAGGGTTTCGGCACGATCGCCGTGCATGGCGCGATGCTCGAGAGTCTCGCAGCGGAGGCCGCCTTGGCGGCGGCCGCGCCCGGGAAGAGAAGCCCAAGCTCAGCGAGAAGGCGCGCAGGCCCCGCCCTTGCGCCGTGGGCGGGCTTGTCAAGAATGGGGGGCGGCCACGCCTGCGAACGCGAGGGGCGGCTGTTTTGGCGGCGCGCACAGGGATGCAGGGAGGAAGGGGGGGTCTTCTTAGAAGCAGGGGTGTTACTAAGAAGCCTTTTTAGAAGCAGGGGTGCTGCTAAGGACCCTCTCCCCCTCCCCTGTCTCCCCCCGCGCGTGGCTGAGCGAAAGGCGGCAGGGGTGTTGCTAAGAAGCCTTCCCCTCACCCTCTCCCCCTACCCCCCCTCTGCGCGTGGCTGAGCGAAGGGCGGCTGCTGGCGGCGGCGACGGCGACTTGAGGGGCCCGCCCCTGCTCAGTGGGCGCATCTGTCAGGAAGCCAGCGGCGACCACGCCGCCGGAGGCCAGGGGCGGCTGCTGCCGACAACGACGACGCCCTGAGGGAGGGGGCGCAAGAGACAAGAATTGTCAGAGAGAGGGTGTCCGAACGGTTTTATTCTGTCTCTGCGTGCGTTCGTCCGCGTGGGCCTCGTCTCCAGGGAGGCCCACGCTGGGAGGCCACGCTGGGGAGCTACGCTGGGGGACTACGCTGGCCACGCTGGGGAGGCCACGCTGGGGGGGCCACGCTGAGGGGCCACGCTGGGGGTCCACGCTGGGGGTCCACGCTGGGAGGCCAAGCTTGAGGGCCACGCGCAGGAACCTCCCAAGAGAAGGCGGTGTATCCGTAGCGGTTTCGGCCCAAATTCCGTTGAGTGTCCGCCCTCGCCGAGTGCGTGTCTGCGTGGGCCTGCCGCGGGGCTCCCAAACTGGCCTCTCGAAGCGTAGTGCCGAACGGCGACAGGCAGTGCTGGACAAGCCAGGTGCGTATTACGAGTGCCCGAATTGCATTGCCCCTGTACGAATTCCGCATGCTGGAAAAGAAACGTCATTCGTGCGATGCCCGGCGCGCTTTCCCATAGCAGGATCCCTCACGGTTCTGCGATTTAAAAACAAAAGGTTGTTGTTGGCGTCAACGGGTCGTCACCCTTGATGGACACGCTGAGCTTCGAACCCAAGCTGTGAAGGATTCCATTGCCCAGTGCGACTAGAAGGTGAAAGAGGGACAACTGAGCGGGAGCCTCTTCTAGACCACGGTTCGCCGGGAAGCTGCGCAGCCACCAGCCGCGGCATGAGCCCAATGTTGAGAAAAGTGCCAGCACCGTCTCTCTTATCCGCAGCTGCGGGGGAATAGGTATAAACCTAAGCGTCGGGAGGTCCGCGCGGTGCGCCCGCCGAAAGCTCATGTTTGCGCGGCTTCTGCTTGTGGTCGCCGGGTCCGAGCCCTCCGCTTTCTGCACCTGTGGGGGGCGTGCTGAGCGCTTTTTTGTTGAATATGTACCATCAGTCGTTTTGCATGACTTGTTGTGTCCATGTGGTGACGCAACAGACAAGCCGCCCTCCGCGCGGTCGGTGGGCTGCTATAGACGGTATCCCACGACAGGGCAATCTGCATGGCGTCGTCGGCCTTGGGCTTGTGGGGACTGGGCACGCCGTGCGGGACCAGGATGCCAGCCTCGGTCCAGGCGAGTGGGGCCCTTGGCGCGGCTGCCGCCGCCGGGGTGCCACGCTCCTTCGCGGCAGACGGCGGGGTAGCGAAGGTGGACTTGGCCCGCGACAACGAGTCTACGCCACCGTGGCTGGCACTGAGTCAGCTTGCGCCGCGGGCGGAAGGTGCTGTTCGCTCTTGTTGTCGCCCCGGCCGTTGACCCATGCCGGCGCCCCCCATGGCTGTTGACCGTACAGTTGTCGCGAGGTCTGCAACTCCTAGCACGCACATATTTATGTTTTTTCCTGGACGGCTCTGCGTGGCAATCTCGGCGTCCCGGCACTCGCCGCTGCCAAGATGATCTTGGTTTAGTGGCATGATGTCATTCTGCCTGTCCGCGCAGGCGAACGCGTGGGTTCCTCCTGCCTCATCGCAGAAAGCATCTTCAGGGAGTCCACTTGGCTTCAACAGGCCCCAAGTAGTTTCAGCTGACGTCAGCGGCCCTCCCGAGTAGTCAAGGGCGTTCTGAAGACCCCGACTTTGGGGCGCCTCCTCTTCCCTCCCATGCCAAAGCTGAGCTTTTTCTTCTTGACGGGGAATGGTTCCTTTCTATGCCGCGCTGCGGCGAGGTGGATCGCCTGAGCTCCATAGCCATACCCATTGCCTCTTTCCTCCCTTCCCCCCGCCTCTCTTCCTTTCATCCTCCTGGATCCTCCCTCGCTCCCTCCCTCCTCACTTCCATGCCCTCCACATTCGCTCTCCACTCGCAGCCGTGGCCTCCGCGCGCCATCCGTGGGCGTCGGCGGATGTCATCGGGAAGCTGCTTTTGGAGGCTGCTCAGCTGGCGCCGTGCCGCTACATCGTTATCGGGAGGGGCTGCCCAGGGTTGGCAAGCTGCGACTGGGTCGAGCAGAACAGACAGGGCCGTGTCTTCGGCATGCTTTCGGGCGTTTTCGTAGGTTCTCGGCGCATTCCTGGCCCCGGCACGCTTTCCAGCCGCTGCGCCTCGCCAAGAGCGTTCCAGGGTGCCCGGATCATCCCGACCGGCCGCTGGAGACTTGAGTTTTGATCTGAAGTCTAGATGACGGGGATCACCTGGGTCAGGCGGAAGGGGAGGGGGGGAACGGAGGGATACGATTTCTGCTGCGTGCAGCTGGTTTCGGCCCTGCCGCATGGCGCTTCCCTTGATACATGAGCGCCTCCGCCGCCTAGGAGCGCCGGAAAAGTCAGCTGTGTGCGTTGATTATCTAACCTCCCTTTTGCTACCCTCTCCGCTGTCGTCTGTAGAGGTCCTGAGGGGTCCTTCGAGGGGCCGAGGTTATTTTCGCGCGGGTATCTGAACTCTTGTGCGATCTCTGCGCGACCTCAGTACGACCCTTTCGCGGGCTTTGTGGCCGCGCCGATTTGGCGCTTACCTTTGCCAAGGTGGCGTTATCATAGATGCCCTGCCAAGATCTGGCCAGGCACCCGCGTTGATGGCGCGAGCCATCTTCGGACTCCACTCTACGTGCCACTCGACGTTGCATCTGATTGTTGTAGTCCACATCTCTATCGTCCACAATCCCCATCAGCAGCCGCGCCATCAAGCTAAATCCAACAGACCCAACATATATTCCTAAGAAGGGCAGACTAAACCAGCATTGCACTGGCCTGGAGACCCTAAGCACCAACGCTGCCTGATCGTTGACATGGTCGGCACGGCCCTGCAGGGCAACTTTGTCGCAATCCGAAAATCAGGCACGCCACAGAAATGCAAGTTTTCGCATTCTGAAAATCAGGCACGGAACGGCTACTCCCCCTCCGCCCAATCAGTGCTCCAATTTGTAAATCCTAGAGCTTCCATATGATCTCAAACGAGGCCGCATTTTGAGGGCTCACGTGCATGGGAATTCAGTGTCCTACGCACCCCCGAGTGTATGTCCTCATTGTTGATGGTGCTGCTGTTATTGTTGATGTTGTTGTTGTTGCTGTTGTTGTTGTTGCTGTTGCTGTTGCTGTTGTGGCTGTTGCTGTTGTCATTGTGTTTGTTGTTGGTGTTGCTGTTGCTGCTGTGGTTGTCGTTTGTGTTTGTGCTCTTGTTGTGGGTGGTGTTGTCATTGTTGCTGTTGGTTGTTGGTTGTGGTTGAAATCTCACTACTGCAGGAATCATTGTTATTGATATCCCCCGGTAACATATTTGTTTTTCAAAGAAAGTACCCTTCCTGGGGCTCGCACCCTGCTTGTTACAGAGAAAGTATTCCTGTTCAAACTGCGCCCCTGGTCCCCAGACTACAACAACAACGGCTCCCGCCTGACAGTTTCTTGCAAGTTACTGCGGAATCGCGCTCTCGCTAGGGAGGTCTTTGCAATTGATCGAAGAATCGTGCTCTCGCCTGTGACTTCCTAGCAATGTATTCCAGCGCCACGCCCTCGCCATTCAGGAATCGCGCTCTCGCCTGGGACTGCCTCATAATTGACTTAGGAATCGCGCTCTCGCCTGAGACTTCTGGCGAATTGCGCAGGACTCCGCATTCGCATAACATGCTTGTTTTCTCAATTGAAGTGCCCCTCTCGGGGCTCGCTGTGTTTTTACAGCCGAAAGTCTTCCTGCTCAAACTATGCCCATGGCCCCCGGTTTACAACAACAGCGGCTCCCGCTTGATACCTCCTTGCAATGTACTGCAGAATCGCGTTCTCGCCAGGGACTTCTCTGCACCGTATCGAAGAATCGCGCTCTCGCCTGTGACTTCCTAGCATTTCTGTTCAGGCGCCGCGCTCTCGACGCTCGGGAATCGCGCTCTCGCTTGGGACTCCCTCGCGAAATTTTGGAATCGCGCTGTCGCTCAAGGCTTCCTCGCGATCGATGCAGGACGCACGCTTCAGCAGCCCGCCTGCTCGACCTGGCCGCCTGGGCCCGCCTGTTAGGGTCTACCCGCCCGGTCTGGCTGCCTGGTTCTGCCACGTGTTGTCCTCGCCTAGCCCCCCTCCTGCTACCCTCCCTCGTGCTCCATCCTCCTCTCTCCCCCTGGTCCTTCTCTTCCATCCGTCCTCTCTCCCACTGCCTCAGGTGCTGCACGAAATGCACGTTACAGGTAAAACATATACCCTCAAGGGGCTACGATCGAAGACGACGAGGGTGGGTATCGAAGGTGGGATCTGCGCTAGCGGATAAGAGCGAACAGTATTAAAAGTATTGTTGTTGCTGCTGCACTTATTGCTGTTGTCGCTGTTGTTGTTGAACGGCTACTTTGTGGCATTCTGATAACCAGGCACGACACGGTACGGCATTGTTGTCGCATCATCGGATTCAGGCGCGGCGCACGTATTGCATGACGCGGCACGTTTGCAGCAATGTTGCGTGCAGTTTTCGTGTTTTCGTCGTCTTTCTTGTAAGATTTGAGACCCCCTACACCCATCAGACATCTGAAGAATAAAACTATCGTTTCATGGACTCTAGATTTTGCTTAAGAGAGTTAAACATCTGGACTGGACCTTGGGCGCTTTCTTGGAGCCTCTTTTTCCGTAGCCATTTCGTGTATCTGGATCTGGGTTATTGTTTAAGATAATGCTTGGAGTGAAATGCGCTTTCTTAGGCTAGAATTTGCTTAACTCTAAGCAGTGGTGTACAGAATTCGCTGACTAGGGAACAGTACGTTATCGAAACATAGTCAAAATAGATACCCTCAATCCCGCGTCGCTGCTGGACACTCCAAGCCTCGAATACCACGAGTGGCGAGGGCGTCTCAGGCTAAAAATGCCCTGACCCGCCCTGACCCGTCGCGCCTGGTTCGGCAGCGAGTGAGGAGGTGAAATAAGAAGGGGGCCCACAGATTTCGATCGGCGGCGTGCGAGGGGGCTTTTGGTAATTTTCGGACGGCTTTCGTAGATTCGGGTTCGAGGTTTTCGGGCGTTTTCGAAGTTTCCTGGCGGCTTTCCGCCCTCGGGATGCGTGGCTGCGCCTCGCCGCGAGCGATCCGGGGGGGCCCAGATCGTCCCGAACGGCCACCGGAGAGCCGAGTCATGACTCAACAACCAGAGTCGGCGGCACGTTTTGGGGGGAAGTGAGAAGTAGAAGGCCTTCTCAGAAGGCGGCGGGACTTCTCAGAAGCGCTCGCGCCTTCTGAGAGGTTTTCCGTGTCTCTGGGGAAGGCTTAGAAGATTTTTCGGAAGGCGGGGGGTTTTCCCGGCCTTCTGAGAAGGCCCGCCCTTTCGCATTTCCCCCCGGGCTCGCCGCCGACTGGTGGTGGGGACGAGGAAGAGCTGCGCGTGCGGGAAATGGAGGACGGATGGAGATCGAGGAGGGGGGAGAGACCCAGCCCCCCGACTTCGCGTTCTGTTCAGGACTGGACTCCCGACCCGATTGTTCGACGATCTTGGGGCTAGGTGAGGGCCCCCCTGAGGCCGTCAAGGGCAACAACAAATCTTGACGTGTTTGTTTCATGACGCGAAGGAGTCTTGGGAAGATTGGCTATGATTCCTCGAGACATGAACACCTGGACCTCTCGACTCGTTCCCGGGGCCCAGCTTTCCATTTGAGCCGTTGGTTAACGGTACCTGGGTCCGAAACCGTCTTTCCATTGACGAGCATGAAGAGCAATCATGCCGTCCTACTCTTCCTTATTGTCAGGAATTTTGGCTTAGCTTGTCGCGCCGTCGGTGTTGGCCCACAACGCGTGGGCGTGACACGCTAGCCACGTTCCCGTCTTCAGGCGTCAACATCTCGAGCCTTTCCCAGCCTCCCACCCCGCAGATCGGGGCGACACGCTATCCACTTGCAGGGCATGGCGGGTCGCCAGGGTCGCCGCCGCAGCACGCCAAGCAAAAGTCACTGACCGTAGCCTCGGGATTTTCAGAGAGGAAGGAACATCGAGGAAGGGCAATCCTGGAAGACCGAAGTGGGTACGGACAAAAATGGTGACGAAGGCCGACTGCCGTGCCCGTTCTGGATAGGACTCGCTGTCGGTGTCGCCGCGGACGTTGTGCACAACAGCGGCCGCTGTCGGTCTTTGGCAACATTTGCCGTTGGGCGTCGTGCCTATTTTTACCGTACCTTTCAAGCGTGCCAAACAAAGCAGAGGGAGGGCAGGCCGACCATCCTGGAGGCCTCCGCAGACCTGCGCGGCGGCCGGGCGGAGCTGAAGGTCACCCCGCGCCCAGCAGGCCTCCGAGGGCTTGGGGGGGGCGCGGAGGGCCGACCTGGGCGTCTTCAGGGAAAGTCGACGTTGAAGAAACGCGAGGAGGCGGAGGCTGCGCGAGCGACGGAGGGTGCGGGGCCGCGGCCACGCGCCCGAGCCCGCAGCGGCGGGTGCCCGCAGCACTGGCCGTCCTGGATCACCTTGAGCGTGATGGCGATGCGCTGGGCGACGGAGGGGGCCAGCTTCCTGGCGAGCTTCGCGAGCACACGCATGCCCTTGGCGGAGGCTGGAGGAGGAGGAGGAGGAGGAGGAGGAGGAGGAGGAAGAGGAGAAAGAGCCAGAAGCGCCGAGCACCTGCTGGCACCGCCTTCAGTCCCGAGGCTCCGATGAATCAGAGGCTGGGCGAGCACTCGGGGCTGAGCCCCAGCTTCTGCCAGGAGGCTCGACTCCAGCGCTACCGAGACGGGCAACCTTCGGGGGGGGCCCAAACGGTGTGGGGACCACAACGCGTGGTGAGTTAGTGGGAACGTGAGGTCACCGAGCGGTTTTGGGACTCGGTCGTTCTATGAGAGGACGTCTCGGGCGACAGAGGGCCTCGAGGGTCCCAAAAACCGCGCGGTGAGGTCGTTGGGGGTTACGCAATGCTGGGTGTTTCGGCCGCGCGCAGGAAGGAGGCAGGAGCTCGGCAGGAGGGTGCCCCTTTCGAAAGCGGTGATGTATCGATCCGAGTTTGCGTCGATTGAGTCCATCGGGCGAGGAGAACTACGCACAGGCACCGATTCTGTCCAGGCCCTTCCTGGGTTCAGGGTCGGTGCAAATGCCTCCCTGGAGAAGTTCTCTTTCGCCTACTTCACTGGGTGCCCATCAGGGTGGCGCTGATTGAGTTGAAGGAGTGCGAGGAGGAAAGCGGGGGTGAGGAAAATGAGGATGAAGTGAGAGAAAACTGCGACGGATGTGTTTCCCTGATGTTGGCTTCCAATGGCCCCATTTCGAACCCCTTATCGGTTGGGGGCGAGGGACACTGGTCAGGACGGACCATGGGAGGGTGTCCGAGGTATGGGAAGCGAAGAAGTTCGAACGAAGCTGATCCTTGTTTCCCAGGGATGGCCATGGCTCGGAGCAAGGGTGCGATTTCAGCCCTTGCAAGGTCTGGTCCGCAGGGGGCGAGGTTTGCCAGAAAGACAATGTTTGGTCTCTGGCAGAGTCACGAGCAAAGGCTGTCTCGTTTCCCCTTCCTCCTCCTCCCCCCATCTGCAAGCTTCTTGCCAGCCTTTCGCGGCGCGCACGCTTGCTGATCCAGGTGTGCGCGTGAGACGTTTGGCAGGCCCTTCCTCCCTCCTCTTCCTGCTCGCTCCCTGTGCGATTGCGCGTCCCTGTGCTCTCTTCGGTTCGCTCTCGGGTTTCGAGGCTAAGACGGCAGATTTCTTTGGGTCGTCCGTCCGGCTACGCCCTCAGAGGTGCCACCCTTCTGAAGTGATGGTTCACCTTGCTTGCCGACTGCTTGTGAGGGTGTGCGCTCGGAAAACTTTTGAGCTGTCCGATCGTAGAGAAGATACCACATACCAGAACGAGGTGGAATCGATTTGAGACCGAAAGGGGAAATACGTTTTGAAGCTCATGTACCGACATGTGTTTCTTCACGGCAACTTGCCTTCCACTGCGAAGTGACATAACGAGCGGACGAAAAGGTGGATGAAGGGGCAGACAGAGACGGGTAGAACGATGAGTGGAGGGACAGACATCCGATTAAGTGTGTCGACGGGATCAAGACGTGGAGAGGGGATGTCTGTTAAGAAAAGGGGGTGGCACGACATGTTTGTACGAGAATGACAGCACTGCATATGAGGGCGGGTGTATGCAGGAGTCGAAGGAACTCTGACATGTCATCAGGTACGCACAAGAGTTTTGCATTCTACAGAAGATCACACGGAACCACAGAAGTCTTTATTGAACAGTTTCGGAGTCCGTTATTTTGTCGATTCGAATCCCGATCAGGCAATGGACCAGTATGAATGTAACATCGTGTTGTTTATGCCTCGCCTTTTATTGAGCATGGCTAGTTTCGGGAGGCCCTCTTGTGACCCTGGCCTCCCCTGACAAGAGCTTCGAGGTTCACCTGCAAGCGGCGCTGGCATCTGAAGCAACGCTCGGCGTCTCCGAGAAGACAGGACGAGGAACATTACGATTCCTGGGCAAGGACAAGCGACCTATGCTTACCGTTGTTTTCATGGGCGACGACGCCGACAGTCATTTCGACGTGCTCTTTGGCCGGTGGGGTAGCTGCGTGCAGTTGAATTGAATATTGTTGAATACGTCGTCATGATCTTGCAGCCTCGAAGCCGCCTTCAGTGTATAAGTAACTGTGCTCCTGGGGACAGGCGCTTGCGAGCAAAAAAGATGAGCTGGCCTTGCGCAGGGAGGTTGGGTGAGGTGAAGGGATTACTTTGAATGCGTGTGCAGTGTGAGGAATCTGGATCGGCACGTGCCGACGAGCCAGCGTGACAGGCACACAGCCTTGGATACAGGATTCATTTTTGTCGACTGCGAAGAAATGAACCCCTGAAGCATTCGAGAGGGGGAGGAGGAGGAGGACGCGTGGCGAAAGAATGGCTAAGAAACCGTGCCCGTAAGGAATGGCGCATGCACGCGGCATCGGATGCAGGCGCGTCGATGGCAGAGAAGCAGCTATGTCAGAACGGCGAGATTCCGATGCAACCCTTATACCTCGCGATGGTGGCCGTGGTTGTTCTACTGCTCGTGCTCAGAATCTGCCGGGCCAGCGCACCTGGGCTGTTTCCACGGGTAGGTGATACGATCGGGCGAATTTCGTATGCTGCCGGCCTTCTCTTGCGTCCTCCGCCCGCCTCTTTCTTCTTTCTAGTCTGCTTCGTGTTGATTGAATCTACGTGGTTGCTCATGAAGGATAGAGGCGAGATCTGTCGATTTCAACCATGTGCGCATTGAGACTCTTGGCTTGTCATCGGCCGTCAACTCTTCAGTGCCATCGGCCCCAGCAACAAAAACGTACGCGGGACTTTCCGACCCTCCCGCCCCGCGGAGCGCAGCGACGCGCAATCCGCTTGTAAGGCGGCATAGCGGGTCGCTGGGGCCGCCGCGGCGACACCCTGAGCAAAAGTTCCCGACCAGAAGCTCCCAGACCCCCGACGTCAGGATTTGTCCATCACGTCGACCCCCATAGTTCTCGACCCCTTCCCCTGGGACCTGTTTTTCATTCCGATGTATTCTCCGACGCTTCCTGGGCCCCGCGCGGGGGGCCCAGATGCTGAAAACAGCAAAAACCTCAATGCTGAAAGATGCCTGGGGGTCTGGGCTGTCGACAATGAGAGCCTGCTGGGGCAACAAGCCCCCCTTCATCATCCTCTTTTACCTGCTAAGGAGTAAGCAGCATGCATCTTGTCATAAAATGTTGTGCTGCCTGTGCATGATGACGCTGATCAATATGACTGCTCTGGATGGGGTGTGAACGCTGTCCGGAAAACTGCTTCGCCACGTTCCACCTCTGAGTGCTGCGGCGCTTTCCACCCACTCTGCCACGGAGCGCGCCTCGGCGCAATGCGGGTGTCCTGTCCTGCCCTCCTCCCCCCTCCCCACGAGCGGCGAACATGTCCGTATCCGCGCACTCGTGGTCTGGATTCCAGGGCGCGATGCCGCGGACACGCGGTCACACGGATACGCTCCGTGTGGGGGCATGCGCGAAAAAGTGTGCCGTATTTGCAGGGTCGCGGCCCGTGGGCCCGGCCCGCGAGGCCGCGGATACGGACATGTTTTTCGCCCACGGCCTCCCCAACGACGGGCGCTCCCGCCCGACGTGCTCTCCAGCGTGGCGGCGCTCTCCGGGCAGCTGGACCCACCGGCGTGGTTCTAAAGGCGGGCGAGGCGCGCCCCCCAGCGAGCCACACCGATCCAGAGGCCCCACACACAGGCTCGCATCGTGACGACAAATCGCGGCGGGGCGGGGGGCGGGGGGGGGGGTTCGTTGTCGGCCGCCGGGCGCCCTCGCCGGGCTCCAGGGACGTCAAACAAAGGCTCGGGGTGCAACACCGGCCTTGAGGGGGAGACCGCGGATGGAAGAAGTTAAGCCCCCTCGGTTCGAGGGCTGAAGCCACTTTGGTCCTCCTTCCACTTCTCGCTTGGCTCCAAGGCTTCCAGGCCGACCCTGAGATTCGGCGTCACGAAACGGCTGCAACTTCGTTAGAAATCACGACGGGAGCTCGGTACCCCATCTTTCTGCGGCACTTCTCGTGCGGCTTCGCCCAGAGCAAGGCACAATCGCCTGTTGCGAACAAGTGGCCACGCCAGCCCAGACATGCGACGTCCTGATTTTTTGTGGACGCGGTCTCCCGAAGTCACAACCCTTTCCTCAGGGCCGGCGTTTCATCCTGGGCCTTTCTTTGACGGCCCTGAGAACCTGGCAAGGGCCCCAGTAGGCCGAAAACGGCCCAAAGCCCGCCGTCGTGTTTTTGTCGCGACGCGAGCATGTCTGAGGAAGATCTCAGTGCGGGCAAGACTTATGTTTGTATCCACTGCATCTTGGTGGTTCGGGATCACTTTCCCAGAAACCGGAGGCGCACTGGGTTTGGATAAAAATTATCCCGGCAAAGCAACCTAACAGCGATGTGTAGAAGCATATCTGAAAGCATTCCCCTTAAGATTCAGATGAAAATCCAGTTGTAGAATTCTGCTGTTCTCGCAGTCGTAGTCGCATTCGCGATGACAGTCGCAGCGGCAACGGCAGTCGCAGTCACAGCCTCAGCCTCAGCCTGCCTCAGCCTCAGCCTCAGCCTGCCTCAGCCTCAGCCTGCCTCAGCCTCAGCCTCAGCCTGCTTCAGCCTCAGCCTCAGTCTGCCTTCAGCCTCGGCCTCAGCCTCAGCCTGCCTCAGCCTCAGCCTGCATCAGCCTCAGCCTCAGCCTCAGCCTGCCTCAGCATCAGCCTGCTTCAGCCTCAGCCTCAGCCTGCCTCAGCCTCAGCCTCAGTCTGCTTCAGCCTCAGCCTCAGTCTGCCTTCAGCCTCGGCCTCAGCCTCAGCCTGCCTCAGCCTCAGCCTGCCTCGGCCGCAGCATCAGCCTGCCTCAGCATTCAAAATGTGGCCCAGGAATGGAGTTCTGGGAACTAGAAGAACACGAAGTGGCCTACAGTTGGCTCCGGGCATTCAAAATCATGCCCAGGAATGGAGTTCTGGGAACTTGAAGAGCACGAAGTGGCCTACAGTTGGCTCCGGGCATCCAAAATGTGGCCCGGGAATGGAGTTCTGGGAAATCGAAGAGCACGAAGTGGCCTACAGTTGGCTCCGGGCATCCAAAATGTGGCCCGGGAATGGAGTTCTGGGAAGTCGAAGAGCACGAAGTGGCCTACAGTTGGCTCCGGGCATCCAAAATGTGGCCCGGGAATGTAGTTCTGGGAGCACCAAGAGCGATTTTGCGAGGATGTCCCAAGCGACTTCGGCTTCGGCGGCAGCCGCCCGGGTCCCGCCCCGACCCCCCTGTGGAGTCATCTGCTGCTCTCTTTTGAGACCGCTAGAAACCTATCAGCAAAAGCTGTTAGGTAATTTTGCCTTGTGGAGGCTCGACTTTTATCAATCTCCAGTGCGTCTCGGCCTTGCGTTGCCCCTTCAACAAAGTCGAAGACGCACTGGATATGGATATAAATCAGAGTGAGGAGGCCGAACGGTCATTCACTGTCCCTGGGCGCGTGGCTGCAGTGGGGTTCCGCGGTGCGGATTGTTGCTGTTGCGCTTGTTGTTGATGATGTTGAGTTTTCATTTCAGAAAAAGATATTGTTGATCCCCCCTCCGGGGCACCTCATATTTTTTGCAATTGCAGTGCTCCTACCAGGGCTTGCATCCGGTTTTTTTTCAAGGGGAAGCGGGTGGTCACCAAACTGGGTTCTCGGCCCCCGAGTTACAACAACAACGGTTCCCGCTTGATACTTCCTGACGCTTTATTGAAAGTTGCATGCTCGCGCGGGATTCCATTACAAGTTACTCAGGAGTCGCACTCCCGCGTGGGACTTCTTTTAATTTATTCAGACGCTGCCCCTCGACACTCAGGAATCACGCTTTCGCTTGGGCCTTTCTCACGATTTACTTAGAAATCGCGCTATCGCTCGAGATTTCCTTGCAATTCTCCTTGCATCTCATGCAGTGCTCACGCTTCAGCAGCACGGCTTCTCGACCTGGCCGCTTGGGCCCGCCTTCCCGACCCACCCGTTAGGGTCTAACCCGCCCGATGGGCCTGTCTGATTCGGCCACGTGTTTTCTGATCCTAGCCCCCCTCCTGCTAATCCCGTGGTCCATCCTTCTCCCTCTCCCTTCCATCCGTACTCTCTTCCCCTGTTTCAGGGGCTGCGCGAATTACACGCGGCAGGTCGGAGTTCGGGGGGTGAGATCGCAGTGGAACGGAGACCCCCATCGGGAAATCGTTTCGTTTCGTTCGTGTCGTACGGGCGGGCGATGCGAAGCTGCGTGGGCGCGCGAGAGGAATGAACCCGGTGTTGCTAGGGCGAAGTCAAGGCAAATGATTCTCCCCAGTCCGTCCGTACGTCCGTCCGTCCAGCGGAGGCCCGCGGTGTCCCGCGGTGTCCCGTGGTGTCCCGTGGTGTCCGCCGTTGCTAGGGCGAAGTCAAGACAAATGATTATCCCCCCTCCCTCCGTCCGTCCGGCAGTGGCCCGCTGTGTCCCGCGGTGTCCCGTGGTGGCCCGTGGTGGCCCGGTGGCCCGTGGTGTCCGCCGTTGCCAGGGCGAAGTCAAGACAAATGATTATCCCCCGTCCGTCCGGCGGTGGCCCTAGCGGTGTTCCGCGGTGTCCAGTGGTGTCCCGAGATGTCCGGTGGTTTCCCGTTGAGTGAGATCGATAGTGAGATCGATACTGAGATCGATACTGAGATCGATGTGGTGCCCCGATGTGTCCAGTGGTGTCCCGTGGTGTCCCCAAAAGTCAGATCGATAGTGAGATCGACAGGTGTCCAGTGGTGTCCCGTGCTGTCCCGTGGTGTCCCGTTGAGTGAGATCGATAGTGAGATTGAGATTGAGATCGATAGTGAGATCTCCGAGGTGTCCCGTGGTGTCCCAAAAAGTGAGATCGAGAGTGAGATCGACAAGTGTCCCGTGGTGTCCCGCGGTGTCCTTTTGAGTGAGATCGATATTGAGATCGATAGTGAAATCGATGTAGTGTTCCGAGGTGTCCCGTGGTGTCCCGTGGAGTCCGGTGAGTGAGATCGATCGTGAGATCGAGAGTGAGATCGATGTTGAGATCGATGTGGTGTCCCGAGGTGTCCCGTGATGTCCCAAAAAGTGGGATCGATAGTGAGATCGACACGATACTGAGATCGATGTGGTGCCCCGAGATGTCCCGTGGTGTCCCGTTGAGTGAGATCGATAGTGAGATCGACAGGTGTCCCGTGGTGTCCCGTGTTGTCCTATGGTGTCTTGTTGAGTGAGATCGATAGTGAGATCGATATTGAGACCGAAAGTGAGATCCAGAGGTGTCCCGCAGCGTCCGGTGGTGTCCCGTGTTGGCCCGTAGTTTCCCGTGGGGTCCCAAAAAGTGAGATCGAGAGTGAGATCGACAAGTGTCCCGTGGTGTCCTGTGGTGTCCCGCGGTGTCCCGTTGAGTGAGATCGATAGTGAGATCGATAATGAGATCGATAGTGAGATCGAGAGGTGTCCCGGGGTGTCCCGTGGTGTCCCATGGTGTCCTATGGTGTCCCGTTGAGTGAGATCGATTGTGAGATCGATAGTGAGACCGATAGTGAGATCGAGAGGTGTTTCGTGGTGTCCCGTGGTGGCCCGTTGTGTCCCGTTGAGTGAGATCGATAGTGACATTGATTTTGAGATCGACACGTGTCCCGTGGTGGCCTATGGTGTCCTGTTGTGTGAGATCGATAGTGAGACCGAATGAGTCAGATGTTGGTTCCCCCCCTATCCCCCCCACAACCTCCTTACCACC